TGACGACGAGGCGGGCCTTGTGGCGCTCAATGTTGCCGTTGGCATCGCGCTTCTCCTTGTACACCCACTTGACTGGGATGGGCTTGATGCTGGGAGGTGCAGGTTGCAGGGTCCAGGTGTCGTTGGCGGCGAGGGATGCAATCTCCTCATCCATGGCGAGGCGCCACTGGTCGGCCTCGGGGGATTGCAGGGCTTCCTCCAGGCTGGTGGGCTCAGCAGCGGTGGTGGCAATGTTGACGATGGCGGTGGTGCGATCAGTGATGCGGTAGGCGTCGTCCTGCCACAAGCTGGCTGGACGGCGTGCAGCGGCGCGCTCGGTGCGTCGCAGTGCGATGGGAGGGGAAGGTGGAGCTTCGGGCTCGGCTGGCGCTCCCACGGCTTCATTGTCGTCGGTGTCGCTGAAGGGAATGGTCTCGGGCAAGTTGGTCTTGGGCAGGTTGGTCTTAGGCAGGTTGGTCTTGGGCAGGATGGAGCTGGTCTCATCGAAGGTGACATCGCGGCTGATGACGGTTGTGCGGTTGTCAAGTAGAATCTTGTATCCCTTGGTGTTGGCGGGGTAGCCGATGAAACGGCCGGGCTCGCTGACGGCGTCGAGCTTGGTGCGCAGCACGGTGGGAACGTGGGCGTAGGCTCGGGCTCCGAATGTGCGCAGGTGGGACAGGTCATGTTAAGTGAGAGAATAATGCGTAATGGCAACCAAGCGCCTGGTTACCATTACGGCATTATTCTCTCACTTAACAAAATGTGAATCCGGGGTTGATGGCCCGATCATCGCCATTCCCGGGCTGGCGGTCAGAGGTGCTCCCGAAACACGTGAGCCGCAGCCGGTGGCCAAGCGGGTTCCAAAGTACGCCTTCAGCTCTCCGAGCCGGAACACAAACATCCTCACTTGGCGGGAATCGAACCGGCGACCTCCGGTTATTAGCGTGAGTGTATAACTGCGTAATGGCAACCAGGCGCTTGGTTGGACGTAGTGCAGCGCAGGATGGTGGGCTGGTGTACCGGCTTGACGCACAGGCCGATGTAGGAGAGGGCGAGCTCGTCTGCCTTGCGGTCTTCAGCGTTGGCTGCAGGCTCGGTGTGGATGACCATGTGCCAACACTTCTTGGTGGTGAGGAAGAACTTCATGTTGGCTGCCCATGCTGGGTAGTTGTTCCAGTCAAGGCGCTCGACTGAGATGCCGGAGGTGCCGTCTGTAGTCATTGTGTCAGCCGCTCGTTGCTGGAGGCTGATAGGTGACGGCTGTTTGCGGCAGCGTATGCCTGGGTTGGCAGCTGGTGTGCCGTTGGTGGCTGCCGCAGGTGTGGCCCGCCGTTGGGTGTTGTAGGTGCTTGTCGCAGGGGTGTCAGCTGGTGGTGCCGCCGGTGATGTGTCCGGCGGTGGTGGCCGTCGGTGGTGGCTGACTGGCGACCGCTGACAAAGGGGGAAAGGACGGTGCCCAAGAATAAAAGGGAGCCGGTGCGTGGCACACGGGGCCAGGCACACCGGACGGGGGAGCTGTGTGCCTCACGAGGACAGCACAGCCCTAGGCACCGCCTTTGTGGAAAATGTAGGAGAGGGGGGGAGTATAGTGG